TTCCCCGGTTTCTCCGTGGCATCCCAACAATTACTCCATTCACACACAGAAGAAGGCAATGGCAAACCACTTCTGGATCATCTGCCAAGAACGTATATGAACAGGTCCCAGTCCGAGAAAAGGATGGAAGGATCCTGTTCATATGGACCTATCGTCAGACAGAACACCAAATAAACAAATAATTTAGTGACTGTTTTATATCTTTCAGTATTTTAAATTATTGCCAGTAAAGGATACATAACGTTAGAACAGGCACGACCTCTTTTGATCTGATAGTAGTGCAGCACGTGACTTCCCAGGCCGCATACGTCACAGGGACTTTCCATTCGCAAAAATTTTCATGCGCAATCAATCTTCGAATCGTAAAACTAATCACGTGGCGGGAGCAATCTCACGCGAAAATACACAGAGACTAAATTCGGCCAAATACATTAAGTGTCTACTTCCTCAGTCGCAGAAGGCCCCGAGATGGCGGGGCTTGTTGCGTCCGACGCCCCCATGCCGCTGAAGGCAATGTGGGATGATCCAGAACGACCCTGGTCGGAATAGGTAGTCGGAAGCTCTGTAAATTATTGTTTCATCAGACACCTCTACAAGGTTAAAAATATAGACACACCAGAGGTCAATTACTCGTATATTCGTCGTCGTAGATCACACCGTGTTTAGGTTATAAGGTTCTGACGTCATGGTTTAGAAGTGACTGCCCACGGATGGATTCTTATCTACCATTAGTCACTAGAACATATTCTCGCCATTAAAGTAGAAATATAGTTCCAAAATCTATATATAACCTGCCCCAGATAAGATCATAGGCTGTAAAATAAATTCTGCTCTCTTCCCACTGCTTTTTAGACACGCGCCAGAAATGTGTTATAAAGTTAAATTCTTTCGTCTTGTATCTTATCCTCAGGCATTCTAATCACAGGATGGGAACTGTGCAGAAGGTCCAAAACTTTTATTCCTGGATTTAAAACTTGGCGCTTTTAAATGACACTAATGACGGTTCACTCATACGGGAAAAGTAACTTTTCGATTTTTTTTAGTGTTCTGTCTGACGACAGGTCCATATGAACAGGCTCCTTCCATCCTTTTCTCGGACTGGGACTGGGACCTGTTCATATACGTTCTTGGCAGATGATCCCGAAGTGGTTTGCCATTGCCTTCTTCTGTGTGTGAATGGAGTAATTGTTGGGATGCCACGGAGGAAAACTCCGTGTTGCCTAGACCACGGCCTTGCCCAAAACAAAGTTATAAATTCCGGCACCGCCGGCAATCGAACCCGAGACCCCAGGATTACAAGGCCAGCGTTCTAACTGCTAGACCACCGTGGCTCTAGTCAATAAATAAAACAAATAAATGAAGATTGATACTGTGGAAAGCAATATAAATACCAATGTTCTCCACTCAGGAATAGGGGAGTATCGCATGCGCACGTCGTTTGCCTACCAGGTCGCCTACGTCACGGGCATTTTTCAAGATGTTTTCTTGTCACCGCATCCAGCTTGCAATATTTGGCATATGCACTATTATAGATTGACGCAAAGTGTATCTTGCAAGATGACGTCTTGTCCCGACGCAAAATACGCAGTTATTCCCTGTCATTTATTCAAACTTTGAAATATTTTATATGTTTCCACATTGTCGTTTGTCCCTTCATTAAAATGTGACATATTTTTCCCCAGGCAAAAGATGACATCTTGTCTCCAGACTCAATATGAGACGACTTCTTGTCCTTTGTTATGACTTGCGTTATTGTTTGTCCCCAGGCACAACCTGCAAGATGGTAGCAGTAGTTACGTACTACAGCTTCCTCTCATCATTCTCATGGCTGCTGGTGATGGCCTTTGACGTGTGGCGTACCTTACGACTCTCAACCGTGCACCTGCGCGTTGTGTCCACAGAGTCTCGGTGGTATATTTTCGCCAGTTACTGCGCACTTTGCTGGATCGTTCTGCCAGGAATTCTCGTTTCCACGGCCCTTTCTATGGAGTACTTTCAAGTCGACTCCGCTTTCTGGCCAGGGTTAGTACCGCCGTTGTGGATTGAGAGTCGAAGTAAAATAGAAATCCTTATCGCCACAGTGTGAGGTACAAATGTTCTAAAGATTATCTGCAAAATAATAATAAAATATTCTCGAAAAGGTGTTTGATGGGTTCACTAACATTTTCTGCAGGCCATGAAGTGGCTAGATAATGACTTGAGGCAAACCTCTTGAGGTAAACTTTGCCACATAACCTGTGTACAACGTGGGACACTAGAAATGGTACACCATCATTTCAAAAAAAAAAATCACATAAAATGATATAATATTAAACTTCATTAAATGAAATACTTTGTTATAGGTTTGGTGTTCAAAACTGCTGGTTTGGAAAACGTAAAGCGTTAATAGTCTTTTTCGCCATCCCGGTTGGCGTCATAATGGTGATGAATATTGCATTCTTCATATCCAGCACGCACATGATCTGCGCAACGACATTAGCGCAGTCTAACAAGAGTTCCAGCACTCACAGAGACTACAAACTCTTCGCACGCTTAGCTCTCCTCATGGGTCTCACCTGGATAATAGGGTTCATTGCTGACTACTTGAACTCCGAAGCAATTTGGTACATCTTCGTGGCTCTAAATGCTTTTCAGGTAAAAATTCAATTTCATTTCTCCAGTTTATTTAACATTCTTAACAAATACTCCAAAAAAGTCCCATTTGGAAGTCAATATGACCACCGTTAGCTTCGTGGGTCAGCTGACAGGGGCGAGCAACTGATCGAAGCTGCTGCCGTTCAATTTCTTGCCAGAAAGTTTGAAGTGTTTTTGGCATTTTGCTGTACACCACGTCCTTCAAGTAACCCCACGAGAAAATGGCGTTTGTGAGATGGAAGGGAGGGTTACTCAACAGATTCTCTGCGCATTATCCAAATTTCTGAATTATGGGAAAAGATATTGTGGTGCCATCTGTTAAGTGTACACAACACTAGGTTTCCCTAATAAGCAAAACACAAGATTGATAACAAGGTAAATATTCTATATTATAATGTGTAACTTTGTATCTTTTTGGAACAACTTGTATGTCATTCTAAGATCCTGGTGCAACAAGCCTGTTGAAGGCGATAATAATAAGAGACCAAGTTTCAGCCTGCTCTAGAAACAGGTGACTAAATAACTAACTAACTAGATGGCCTACGTAACCCGAAGGTTCATCACCGAATTAACCAAAGCCCTCCACCGGTCCCTGTCCTGGGCCAACAGAATCCAGTCTCCTTCAACTCCTATCTCCCATAGATCCCGCCTGACATTATCCTCCCATCTACGTCTAGGTCTCCCCAGTGGTATCTTCCCCTCAGGCTTTTGTCCTATCCATGCGCGCTACATGCTCCGCCCATCTCATTCTTCTCGACTTAATCACCCTCACAATACTGGGGGAGCAGTACAGATTTTTAAGCTCGTCATTATGCAGTTTTCTCCACGCCCCATCGTCTTCCCTCTTAGGCCCAAATATCCTCCTCAACATACAGGTGACTAAATAGACACGAAAAATCCATATTTATAAAAAAAATTCTTTTCAGGGATTCTTTATCTTCATAGCTTTCACCTGGACAAAGAAGGTGAGGAATCGATGGAGAATACAAGTTTCCAGAGACACTAAATCAAAGTATGCGGAAAAAGAAGTGACCTGCTGGACCTGGAGAAGTAGCAGGACAATAAATACGGAGACCTCCGACTAAAATATGGAACCCTGATGAAAAAGACATTCATTCCCATACCTGCACTCAAAGTCTTATGAGGTTGAAGATATGGCCTCGTATTGACTCGTAAATAGCTGCAGAACACAAAAATTTTCTTTGCACCAAGCGACAACAACAAAAGTTCTGTGAATCAATTATCAGTATCTGAACTAATGGTTAATTAGCAAAGGTCGATAAATATTTATACGCTTGTTATTTCTACATCAGTGTTTTATGGCAGTTTCTATAAGCCCCATGAGAGGGGCTTCGTGTGTTCATGGCGGCGGAAGATATGATAAAATTTGTCTTTACCAGTGGTTATTAACATGTTAGGCACAGGTAACCCTAAAACTTAACCACTAAATCAAAACTGCAGTTTTCCTTCCTGAATACCAGAGAAATGTACTTTAAACTTATTTAAATAAGAGGTTAGTTTTTCATAAAATGAAAACGAAGAAAACATGTTAAATTTTTCATGTGAATATCTCAGCGTAAATGTTTAACTGCTTTCGCCTGTGTACTTTCGAGATACAAAATTTTGTCACAGCTAATGCGTAAGTCAGTCCGTCATTAAAACTCATTTACGTTCTATTTCTCTGTCTTGGAGATTCTGGTAACCTCAGTCAGATTTTTAATATAGAATTTCTACATAAGGACAAATTAATAGTGACTAAAAATATACTAAATCCAGTATTTGAGACGAATTTTTATGTGAAGGCATTAGTTTAATTTAGAGACAGCCCTTCACGTGTAAGATACGGAAATGATTCAGCGTTTAATTGAAACACAAAATCGAGAAATACCAGATCAGGAAGGGGAAGGAGGGGGAGGAGATGAGATGCAGTTGAATAGATGAAGCTGTTCAGTTGTCCAGACTAAGGAATAAATGGAGAATGCAATTTAAGTAACAAGTGGTTATGCATAAATGGGGAAATAGCGTATAGATAAACAATAAATTACACAAATAAAGCTATGTGTAACAAAATCCATAGTTTTTCTTAAAATCAAAAATACCGCATAACTTTGGAACCCTCGTTCGTGCTTCATAACGAATGAATGTAATAACATTTATCAGAAGTATGAATTTAAGTCTACAGGAATGTAAGTTAATGACTACGTAGACACTTACTGCAAAAATTTCAGACAGTTATTGAACACCTCGTATTTCTATATATTTCGTCTACATGTCATAAACGGAACCTGTAACCAAGAGTGAGGAAAATGTCATAAGTTTAGAAACTTAAGTGGAAGCTTTCTTTTGTGTTACAATGATGTGCTATCATTAATATCATTGTCATAATACCGATTTTTTTCAGTTTAATATCCCACGCAAATATGAAATGATTTGATCTACTTTAAATTTAAGAACACTTTATTCCAGACGACGACATCTCGATGCGTTATTTCTTGTTAATGTCTTTAAGGGCAAAATAAATTGCCATTCCATTATGGACACTGTTGGTTTACGTGTGCCGGCGAGGAAAATAAGAGAATTTTCTACTTTTAGTGTGAGCAGTGCGCTAAGACATAGTCCTTCAGCCAGGTGCGTCATCGCTGCAAATGACGTATGTAAATTTTTGGACGTATTTAGCGTAAACATTGTCTCCCTTGAGCGATCGTTCTCAACAAGGGAAATGATCTAGATAGGTTGTCTTGATAGATGATCTAGCTTCGTTATCTGTTTGTTTTTGTATTTCTTTAACGTTTTACAATTATATTAGTGTTCCCTAGGTGGATTATTTGTTTTTATTTATATTTCTTCATTTATTTTGCTTTGTGTTAATATTGTTTCTATTTTGGGTTTGCCTGTACTTGGCAGTTATATTTAATACTGTACATGTATAAGTTTA